AATATTGCAACATATGAATGTATCAAATCAGGTAACAATATTGCAACATATGAATGTATCAAATCAGGTGATAATATTGCAATATATAAATGTATTGGGGTGCCTGGGTGGCTCAGTTGGTTAAGCATCAGACTTTTGATCTCAGCTTATGCCTTGATCCTGGATCGTTGAGTTCAAGCTTGTGTTGGACTCCATACTGGGTGTGGAGCCTACTTAAAACAAAACCAAAAATCAATCAATCAAATCAACATGGTATAAACCTTAAACTTACACAGTGTTATATGTCAGTTATATCTCAATAAAAATAATTTTTTTAAGTTGAATAAGTCCCCCACCCATCCCCGTTTTCCAGTTTCTCAAACCCCCACCCCTTACCACTTCATTATCTTCTCCAGAAATTCACTGCATATACAAGAATGTATTTAGTGGTTAGCAAGTGACAAGATGTCACAATTTGGAGGCACTGTCCTAAATGCTCTCCTTGGTTTAAGCTTCATAATTAATACCTAACTGTTAAATGGGAAACACATTTATGGGTTTAAGAAATCCCAATAATGCCAAAAGGTACACATCAAAATGTCTTACCCGAGCTGTCATAACCTAAACGCTTGCCAGGCATCCTTCCCTTACAGGCCACCATGTTGATGAGTTTCTTATGCAACCCTCCAGTATTTATGCAAAACCCAGAAGATAGGAAAATATATTCCCATTTTAAACCTTTCCTCACACAAATGATGATGTAATCCTAGTCTGTCCTTGCTTATCTTACTAGAAAATAGATCCTGGAGATTTTCCTATGCTCTATCCAGTTAAATAACAGTCGCTCAGCTGAGTAGGGTCACCTGGCTGGCTCAGTTGGTAGAACATGTCTCTTGATCTCAGGGTCATGAGTTCAAACCCCATGTTGGATATAGAGATTACTTGAAAAAGAATTTTAAAAATAGAAACAAAAGTTCAATTGAGTAAATTTATTTTTTTTTAAGATTTTATTTATTTATTTGACACACAGAGAGAGAGAGCACAGGCAGGGGGAGCAGCCGAGGAAGAGGGAGAAGCAGGCTCCCCACCGAGTAGGGAGCCCAATACAAGGCTCCATCCCAGGACCCTGACTGGGGTCAGTGCCCAAGCTGAAAGCAGACGCTTAACCGACTGAGCCACCCAGGCGTCCCAGAAAAGGATGGATTTTTAAAGGCAGAAAAAAGTAAATTATTAGCAAAGAATGCATTGTTTTAGGCAAGGTCACCCTCCTGAGGGAAACTGAGGGGCCCATCCCATCCACACTGGTGCCTACCAAATAATTCCAAGTTGACTGATTAAAAGTCACCTTCTTGGGGGCTGGAATTGCATTTAGGTTACGGGTTAAGTCTTGGTTTACTGATGTGGGGTTTTAGTACAAGTGACTCCATGTTGGGCCTGCTGTCTCCATTTTGACACCACCACACATTTGCAAATTGTTAAATGCTCCTCCAGTTACCCATTAGAGTTTTGTGGTTCCTGACTCCAAAGATGCCCGGTAACACGGACATATCTGAAAACCACTTGAGTGTGGAAGGGCGATATGGGGATGTGGGGTATGGATAATCTGGGGGCCAGATCCTTATCAAAGGTAGCTTTTTTTAAAAAAAAGATTTTATTTATTTGAGAGAGAGAGAGAGATCATGAGCAGGGGAGAGGCGTAGAGGGAGAAGCAGACTCCCTGATAACTCCCCGCTGATCAGGGAGCCCGATACGGGACTCGATCCCAGGACCCTGGGATCATGACCTGAGCCACCCAGGCATCCCTCAAAGGTAGCTTTTGATGAGCGGATGCCTTAGTCCATTCAGGCCCCTCTAACAAAATACCATGGACCGGGTGGCTTACAAACAGTCCAAACTTACTTGTCACACTTTTGGAAGCGAGAAGCCCGAGATCAAGGTGCTGGCCGATTTTGCATCTGGCGAAGGCTCGCCTCCTGGCTTGGAGAGGGCTGTCTGTCTTTTGCCTGTGTCCTCACATGGAGGAAGGGGCAAGGGGATCTCTGGGGTCTCTTTTATAAGTGCATCAATCCCATTCACGAGGGCTCCACCCTCATGATCTAAACCTCCCCAAACCATCACATTGGGGATTTCAGTATATGGGCGGGGGTGGGGGGTAGGTTGAGGAGTACAGACATTTAATCTATAGCAATAAAAGTTCTGTTTTAAGATAGCTCAACTTAAACTTTTTTTTTAAAGATTTTATTTATTTATTTGACAGAGAGAGTGATAGCGAGAGCAGGAACACAAGCAGGGGGAGAGGGAGAAGCAGGCTTCCCACCAAGTAGGGAGCCGGATGTGGGGCTCAATCCCAGGACCCTGGATCATGACCTGAGTCAAAGGCAGAGGCCTACCAACTGAGACACCCAGGCGCCCCTGCTTTATATTTCACGGTTAGCTCAGAGCCATCTGGAAATTTATTCGAGGGTATGGTATGGGTGGGGGTTGTTTGGGGTAAATTCTCTACCCTTCCAAGGTTTTTCTGGCTGGTCGAAGAATTAAACTGACACAAGACAGAGTCACAAGGGAAAATGAAGTTTAATTTTACACATAGAGGATCCCCACATACACGAGAGGTTCCAAGACAGAGAGGCAGGATGAGGTAGGTATCTGCGCCATGCTGAGCTAAGGAGTGGGCTGGGGGCTGGGGCCTCAAAGGGGAGCAGGGAATAAGAACACGTTTGTTAACTAGATGTTTGCCCTGCCATGCAGATGGGCATTCAGATAAAACTTATCTTTGGTAATAGCTCTAATTCTGGAAAGACCCCCAATTTAGAGTCTTCTAGGTAGTGAAGGGAGGGGCAAAAGTTTCTCTTGAGCCTGCAGGGTCTCGATTGCCTTCAGCCCCAAATAGTCCATATGCCAAAGTGGGACCTTTTTGGGAAGACTTGGTCTGAACTCCCTCAGGGGCATTGGCTCAGCAAGACTCAAAAAAAAAAAAAAAAAGCCCCTCCTTTCTCCACTGCAATGTGGTGTATGTTTGTTCGTAAGTCTTGTGACTTTCTTTCTTTCTTTTTTAATATTTTATTCATTTGTCAGAGAGCGGGCGTAAGCAGGGGGAGCAGTAGACAGAGGGAGAAGCAGGCTCCCCTCTGAGCAGGACTTGATTCCGGGACCCTGGGATCATGACCTGAGCC